ACCTTGGACCTAGCCGTAACGCGTACCCTAAAACCTAACCTACAATCTCGCCAACAATCAAGTGCCCTAACCTTATTTACATCTCAGCGACCTTGACGAAAATTGATCTGGCCTTAACAAATAGTTTTAGCCAGTCCATACCATAGCTCCAGATAATCATCAACATTTTGGGGACGCTCTAGAGGCTCAAGTTATCTGATTTTCACCTATTTCGGAGAACCCAACTAAATCTGATTACGCATGAACAATATGAACACGAAATGGAATGAAATGGGGTTTAACGTCCTACGGTTCTGTCTGTGCTAATGGAGACGGGCATACGCCTTACAGTGTGCTATGAGGGAAATTATGCCCGGGCAGCGGCACTATCGCCTACTCTTATATCAAATTCCAACTGCCAAGGGATCTTGTACGTGCATTCCAATGAATAAACGGGACCTCGGTTTTTCGTTTCATCCGAAGGACTAGACAGCTGTCCTTGTCAGCGTCATTGTGGCTACCCGTGTCGTATATTCTACGGATTTAATAGTTTCCAGTGTTATTTATATTGAAAATAGGAAGACATGTCCTAGAAGACAACGCGGAAGTAATCAAAACTCACTGATTTTCACGAACGACAAAATCGTTATTAAAAACATCCGTGTAGAATGGTCTAAGCAGGCACAAACGACTCCTGGTAAAATTTGGACTTTTTGCGTATTTCGCCGAACGTAATTGATTAGAATTTGCAATAACGTTTATATTTTATTTATTTATTTTTTTAAAAATGTGTTAATCAATTTATATACACTCATATTACATTAATATGTCCTGTTAGACCTATTTTCGTATATTTTAAGATTCCAATGAATAGAGCTTATGTATACATTTGAAATCGGTCTATCCAATATTTCATTATGTACAATCTGTGAACGCTAAACTTGTCTTTTAACCATTCATGACGCTCATAAAACTATTGTTAACTGACAAGGAAGTTGCTATTTTCAAGTCGGTTCGGAAATTCCCAGACACCGGATAGGGTTTAAGGTAGCTAACAGTGGTCCTAACATGGAAAGGACCTACCCTACCGGCCTGACCAAAAACAATCAAACTAATAACAAAGAGCCTATTTTTGTCAGTAGTAGCTTGGTCCGCCGGCAATTTTACCAGACCTCCGATGACACGTACGGTACAATTTTCTAGAACATATCCGCCCAGCTTTTAAACCATCTAGCCAAAGGGCTTATGTCATCCCTTTTGCAAATACTCTCTTGGACCAGCTTGCTGTACCGGAATTATTCTTTAGTAGGGCGAAATAACCATCCATATATGATTAAAATCTGAACTGTACAACTTCTTCAGAGGTCTGGACAATGATGTTCCGGTGAAAAGCTGAGATGTGACCCTCCTTCATTCCCATACATTGTAATTCATTGTTGTATAGAACAGCTATTATACCACACTATCTATCTTCTAATACCCTGCCATCACCTTATGAGGGAGCCGCGGTGGCTAAGTCAGTAGGACGCTGGCTCGCTAGCCTGGAGGTCACGTGTTCGATCCTTGCATTGCCCAAAACAGTTCATCGGGATTTTCCCACGTGGTTTCCCCTTGTCAGTGGTGCAGAAAGGAGGGTTTAAAAAGGGCAGATGTCTAGTTGTTTGGATAGGACGAAAAACCGCCCTAAAAGATCCCTTGGCAGTAGTATTTCGATATAAGTGTAGGCCATAGTTTTCTACCCCGGCAAAATTTCCCCCCTAGCACACTGTATGGCGTATATCCGTCTTAATTAGTCCAGTCGGAGCAGATCAGTAGGACGTTAAACCCCATTTCATTTCATTTCTTTAGCAGTGGGAGAAAACCAGAGGACCGGGAGAAAACCCAAGGGGTTTGTCAGGCAACGTCACTCCTGGTCACGTACAAGCAGGTAAACATAACCACGCCACTTGACTCAACGACAGACCTTTTGATCATACGTGCAAGCGTTTTATTTTTGATTTTTTTTTTAAATTAAACATCTTTATTTACGCAAGAATATTTACAAGCATCATATAATAAATAATATATATATATATATATACTGAATATATACATGTATATAATACAAGGTTAAAAGTCAATATAAGTCAAATTAAATGAAATGAAATGAAATGAAATGAAATGGGGTTTAACGTCCTACTGTTCTGCTCCGAACTGGGCCAATGACGACGGGCATACGCCATACAGTGTGCTATGAGGGAAATTTTGCCCACTACCGCCTAATCTTATATCGAATTCCAATGTGTACACGCCAATGTGTACACGGGACTTCGGTTTTTCGTCCCATCCGAACGACTAGACAACTGTCCTTGTCAGGCCCTCTGTCATGCACCACGGACAAGGGGAACCACGTCGGCAAAATCTGGATGAACTTGGACTTTCTCTGCCAATCAAAGGATCGACCTCCAGGCTAGCGAGCCAGCGTCTTACCCACTTAGCCACCGTGATCCCGGTTTAAAATTTATCTATGTACTTTACATTTTAAAAATGCCTGTTGTTACAAAGTAATTTTAATTTGAAATTTGTAATTGTAGGGCTCCTGGTATTTTCATTATAGGTAAATATATCTGGAACATGTATTGATTATAAACAAAGATATATTTAGAATAATGAAATTAAGGAATTTAGTCCCTATTATAGAGACTTTAGAAGATGGTACGAAATAAAAGATCTCTACAGGGACAATTCCTCCCACTGCTAAAGACCCCTACGCGCAAGCGAATTTGAAATAAAATTAAACCATATGTTAGTCCCGAAATGACCTAGTTTGTGTCGAATGGACGTTAAACCCCATTTCTCTCTCTCCCTATTCTCTAATCATTTTCAAGTCCAAATTGTGTTATGCTTTCTTATGTGCTCAATCGTTCAATGCCACTCGTCATCAGTATGAAGGTGAGACAGCTAATTGTGTTATGCTTTCTTATGTGCTCAATCGTTCAATGCCACTCGCCATCAGTATGGAGGTGAGACAGCTAAGTGTTTTAGTCAACTTGGTAAACTATTTCATCATTTGTACTTGAGAACGATAAATGCCACCCAAGGATTAAAATTAATTAGTAGAGTAGAGTTTTGTAAATCAATATATGATGAGGAAAGAAGTAATTTCTTAAATTCAGCGTCGTTATAATAGTAATATGATTGTAGAATAACAATCTGATTAAAACACAGATCCAATTTCGTTTCGTTTTTATAGTTCAAAATTTCGATTTTACTTGTCTTTACTACACTTGGATCTGGAAGACTTGTTATTTAACTCGTGTTCTGCTTGAAATGAGGGGTCAGCCAATCAAATGGTCTGTCGAATCGAGCGTTTGACCTTTTTTGCCCCGGAACTGTGGGTAGACATTAGCGGCAATAGAAATCAAAACAAAGCAAAAGTAGATAAAAAAATACTTGGCGGTCGCTAATTGGTTAATAGAATGACTGACGTAATCGGGCCAAATGTCGCTTGCTTGGTACCTGACGTCATAGAACGTGAACTCCCGTGAACTTTATACTGGCAGGTATAAAAAAACGAAACGAAATATAGATCTATATTTTAATTAGATTGGTAGAATAATTGTATAATATCCACATAAGAGTTTGTTTCTGTGAATAAATTCCTGTGCTTAACAATAGCTAGACGTACAGGGGATAATATAATGTTTAATATGGCACCCACTTTCTTAGTTAAAATCGATTAAAATAGACCTTATATGGTCAATAAGTGTTTGAATACGAGTGAACAAGAGTAATCTATAATGCAGGGAAATACTTAAATATATTAATTCAATAAATTGAAAATGAAGCAAGATAAAATCTCTACTTTAGACTATAAAACTGGATAGGTGGTGGGGGAGCGGGGACGAGGATTTTATAGATCTAAAAATGGCAGTCAAAATATCAGTTGATAATAAGTCCTTGATATAAAGAGTCCCACATCACAGCTTAAATTGGATTTGATAGGCTATAATGATGGCCTCAAGAAGTTTCCTGGTATTCTTCATGTGCTGATTTATTGCGAGGGTTCTTGTTCAGTGCCATATGTTTTTAAGGTGTCCGTTGGTAATCAATGCAATAAGAATAGTTTACTTATTTCAGGGGCGGGTCCAGGGGGGGGGGGTCGACCCCCCCCCCCCTGCCCAGCTACATAAATTTTTTTGTAAATCAGCCTTTTTTATGAGAAAGGTTTCTCGGCCGTGTGCTTTATACTTTATCGTCAGATTTGGGACAGTATGGGCACTCAAGGCACGATAGATAGAGACCATGCGGGAGGTGGGGGGGGGAAATACATTGTCTCAGGAACATGACACCCCCCCCTGCAAAAATTCCTGGATCCGCCCCTGTATTTATACCAAGGAGATCGATATTATAATACTATTAACTATTGGTACGTGTAACAACCAACTTGGTATACCATCATAATACACACGCAAGCAATAGTTGCAACGATCATAACCATTGGTGCGTGTAAAAACTAACTTGGTATACCATCATAATACACACGCAAGCAATAGTTGCAACGATCGTAACCATTGGTGCGTGTAAAAACTAACTTGGTATGCAAGTGCTATACCATCATAATACACAAGCAAGCAATAGTTGTAACGATCGTAAATATTGGTAGGCCTACGTGTAACAACCAAATTGGTATGCAAGTACTAACCATCATAATACACAAGCAAGCAATAGTTACAACGATCGTAATAATCATAAACGTCCAAAAGAAAATAATGTCTAATGATTTAGAAACATCTTGCCATGTGGTTAGTTCTTTACCTTTAACCACTGGTACGTGTAACAGCCAACTCTGTAAGAAACTGCTATACCATCATAATACAAAAGCAAACAACAGTTGCGACGATCGTAATAATCATAAACAGCCAAAAGAAAATAATGTCTAATGATTTAGAAACATCTTGCCATGTGGTTAGTTCCTCACCTTTAAAGTCCATGTTATTGGCAGGGGACACTGTGTTTTTATGACTCGGAGTCTTCTGAATGTATCCAGGGACAGGAATATTAGGATCTTTATAATAAATTCTCAGAACAAGGATAGACAATACCACGGATAATGCACTCATAGCAACAAGGACTGTTAAATAAACCGCCAATATGGAAACCTGTAACGACGTCTGTGGCATGCTTTCACTTACAATGGTCAAGAAAACGATGTAAGCCAACAAAATGGTTATAGCTAGAGATATTTTCTCGCCAGCGTCAGCAGGCAACATAAAAACCAAAGCTCCCATAAAAGACAAGAATAGAACGGGTAGTATGATGTTTAAAACGTAAAAGATTCGACGACGTTGTATGGTAAGCTTTATGTAAACACCGGCCTTCATGATCGTATCTTTCTTCTCTATACTAGCGCTTATAAGATTCCATTGTCCATTAGCACCGTATTCATCAAGCCACACTTCACCAGTTGAGCTAGTACTTAACACTAAATCTATTTCTGTGATGTCAGACACCATTGTTTCCAGAACAACGTTACAGACCTGTTGGTCGAAAGGATAATATCTTACATTTATATCACAGGTCGTTTCAAAAAGGTTACTAGGTGTCCATTCCACAAACCCGACACTATGGAGTCGAATAGGCATTTCATCAAATCCTAGCTTAACCCTGTTTTCCACTGAGTTCCCTACCACAATGTCCGGCCTCCATACCTTTTTCTGTGGTACAACCATATTATGTATACCTCCATAGGCTGACTCGTTCCATGAGAGAAAATCGTCTTCCCAACTTAAATGGATATATCCAAACGATACCAGTACCTGGTCCTTTTCCCTGAGTTCGTTGATAGAAACTAGACTAAATGAAGTATAAATCTGCAAGATTTCAGTATCATATGCAACAGGTCTTACATCAGAATTATAGATGCCAAAGATATCATTATGCAAGTTGTAATAGTCATCTTTAGAAGCTGCTTCAGTCGTCTTTATCCAAATACAGAAAAAAACTAATAATGACATGGGCGCCATTTCAACCGAAACTCAGGAAAAATCGACTGAATCTCGTCACCTTTGATCTTTGACTTTAATTGCTGTAAAAAAGAAGGAATTACACAAAGCATAGGCAATATTTCAAACAACAAATTGAATACGATATCTGGGATAAAAATATCTCTTTAGACATCTGCATTCCATGAACATGAATGCCACGATGGCATTTTGTTAAAGCAACCTGGACAGACTTTTTTCGTTGTTTACATTCAATAAACCTAACCCATAATTTCGTCAATCACGTGTCATTACCCTATTTACATCTCGCGACCATGACGATATCTGTAGATGGGCTTAATATTGAGACCTGATCGTCAAAAATACATGTCTACATTTGAACTTTCCGCCATATTTTCGCGACATCTAACTGATGGGCCTGATTATATAATTCAATGGAATCCAATCTGGGAGATAATCTACCCTGATATTTTGTTTTCCTTATTAACTGTTAAGGATACATTATGGGAGATTAGATAAAAGGGGGGCAGTTCACACTATAATAGTTAAAAACAAGATAATGTAAAGGCAATTTGCTGAAAAGTTCAGTCAAAATTGATCGACTATGAAAAGAGGATTAAGCGATTGAAATTTCGGCCTAGCCTCAATCATCATTTCTAAAGTCTGTACGATAAAAACATAGTCTCGATCATCCATTTCATGATTAAATTATGAATGGAAGTCGAGCAGCAAATGGGATCATAATCCAGTAAATATCGCAGGCTAGCGATGCCACCGAGACATGATTATTGTCTGGATAAGTTAATTAATGTCTAAATTATAATTTAGATAACATTTCAGGCCTAAAGAAAGATCTGCAATTGGCAGATTTGGCTTTTGCATAATGTATGTTCATATAATCAACCTGATTTCGTGATACAAAGGATTCTTCGATAATTTCCGAAAAACTCAATATGTTTTTCACAGGTCTTTAATTTGGCTGAAAATGTTACATAAACTATTATTAAGACAATAATTCAAATGACAAGTCTAGATTTAAACGGATTGAAACACGATCGCCGTGATAAAAAAAAAGGTACCGTTGCTACGATAATAAATAATCTATACCGAATCTATAGTAATTTTGCATTATGTACTGAACTATTATACCACGAACGACCTGGCCCCGAGGTCACGAAGCATTTTCAGACTTAAGAATTTACTAAAAATTATTCGCGTTATTTTAACTAAAATATAGGTCTTTATAAAACTTTTGTTGTTTTAATGTATCAAATACATCAATAAACCAGCGGCTGCCAGGCAGGATACGCCCACATTTTCGAGAGATGGATAGAGAACAAGCTAAAAAGAAAGTGATTTTTCCTACAATCAAGGGCCATAATTCAGGAAATTACAATTTGATATGCGCAAATATCAAAAGGAACCGAGATCTATGGGTTATAAACTTACATTTCAAGTTTCAACAAAATCGGATAAAAATTGTTACCTATATAGGGTCCACAACCTTGATATACCATATCTTTACGCTATTTGAAAACGAGGGGCGGCCATTTTGTCTGTCAGTTTTGGGCCGATTTTCACGAAATACGAACTCAGTCGTCCTTAGGGTGTAACGGTTAAAAAATAAAATTTTTTAAATCGGATAAAAATTATGACCTCTATAGGGTCCACAAGCTAAAAACTTGATTTTTCGTACAATCAGGGTCATAATTCAGGAAGTAATGGTCCGATATGCGCGAATATCGAAAGGAACCGAGATCTTTGGGTTATAAACTTATACATTTCAAGTTTCAACAAAATCGGATAAAAATTGTGACCTCTATAGGGTCCACAACCTTGATATACCATATTTTTACGCTATTTGAGAACGAGGGGTGGCCATTTTGTCTGTCAGTTTTGGGCCGATTTTCACGAAATTCGAACGCAGCCGTCCTTAGGGTGAAATTGTGATATAATAATACGGTTTTTTAAATCGGATAAAAAATTATGACCTCTATAGGGTCCACAAGCTAAAAACGCAATTTTTCGTACAATCAGGGGCCAGAATTCAGGAAGTTACGGTCCAATATGCGGGAATATCAAAAGGAACCGAGATCTTTGGGTTATAAACTTACATTTCCAGTTTCAACAAAATCGGATAAAAATTGAGACCTCTATAGGGTCCACAACCTTGATATACCATATTTTTACGCTATTTGAGAACGAAAGGCGGCCATTTTGTGTGTCAGTTTTGGGCTGATTTTCACGAAATTCGAACTCAGCCGTCCTTAGGGTGTAACGGTGATATAAAAATACGGTTTTTTAAATCGGATATAAATTATGACCTCTATAGGGTCCACAAGCTAAAAACCCGATTTTTCGTACAATCAGGGGCCATAATTCAAGAAGTTACGTTCTGATATGCGCGAATATCGAAAGGAACCGAGATCTTTGGGTTATAAGCATACATTTCAAATTTAAACCAAATCGGATAAAAAATTGTGACCTCTACAGTGTTCACAAGCTAAAAACATGATTTTTCGTACAATCAGGGGCCATAATCCATGAAGATACGGTCCGATACATGCCAATTTCGAAAGAAACCGAGATCTGAGGGTGATAAACCCATATTTCAAGTCTCATTTAAATCGGATAACAATTGTGACCTGTAGACTGTTCACAAACAATTGTGGACTGACGGATGTCCGGACGGACAGGGGCGACGACAATATACGTCCACATGAAAATGTGGGCGTATAAAAAACTATGTGCAAAGTTGTTTGTTTCTGGATCCAAGATATTTCTCATAAACAGTGATTGAAAGTTGAGTAAATTCTTAACTTAAGTCTGAAAATAAGGCATCTTTAAAAAAAATATTGACTTGAAATTAAGAAACATAAATCGACCCACACAGCTTTAAGATGAAACTTGTGCACGTGAGCTATCCCAATCTACAAGTGCAATTTTTGTGTATTTTCTTGAATTCTCGTGGTTGAATAAATGAAGACAGTAATCTTGTTAATATTACTGTATTCTTTTGGTTAAAGTTACAATTTCATATTTTCTAAGAAAGTCAAAACATAATTATTTCTATGTCTTTTGCTCAATAGGTTGTCAACTCACTATTATACGATCAAAGGTTATCTTTCTCACACTTAAAAATCTTCACAACGGAAATAATAACACAATTACCTCCCTTGTTTTCCTATTCCCCACCATGGAATAGCTATCTTCAAACGTTTGAATTTAAAGTTTGAAAATGATATTTTTGCCAATTTCTCAACTGGCAATAGTTAATTATAGGATTAGTAGGATTATTCTTTAACAAGGTAGGACTGTTTATAGATACCATCTATTTTAGGGCTTTATTTTAATACATTTTAAAAATATAACTTAAAAAAATGAAATTGTAACTTTAAAAATTAATCACCATAAACTACAGTATAAATTAATTTAACAAATTTTGGTTCAATGCTTAATAATAGATAAGCTTCAATACGGAAATGGGAATTGACATACACGTGTGTATCCAAATACAGGTAAATACGGTATGTCCTTAGGAATGTGATCTCCTGACCGGTTTGTAGAATCGTCCCTCTAACTCGTTACTTTGGGTCTATATACCCTCATGCATTACCTAGGGCACTATAAATCTATCGTCTATGCAAACAATATACCCTGGGAACTAAAACTCTATAGCCCGTAGACGTTAATTATAATTTATAAGCTCAATTTAAAGTGTAAAACAAAGAATACCGGAGAGAGGTGATTAATGAAATATATAAGACAATATGAAGTAGATATAAAAACATTGAAAAAAAAACCCCAAATCATTGGAATAATCTACCTTACCTGTATGTATGTTTAGAAAGCTATATTCGTCCCAGCGTATACGAGTCGAAATGCTAAATGATTAATAGCAATATACATGTATTTTGACTTTCACTAAAGAAATACTTTTAATTAGCTCTGTTTGAATCCATTAATTAAATTAAATATGAAACATGTTGTTATCGGCTGGATGAACACTCTGAACAAAGCAACCTTTCTCATTATCTGATACGAGAGATTTAATTAAACCATGCAGATATTGGAAGATCGTTATTACCCAAATGATTAAAAACAATCGGGTGTTATGTAAGATACGCTCAAATCTTCCCTAAAGATGTAAGAAGAACAGGCTGTAAATCAGAAGTGTTCGTCCTCTAATGATCACAATGCTACGTTAGGTTTAAGGTAAGGGCTGGGGCACGACTGTGGAGGTCCTGAAGCTCGAAATATGGCGGGGGGGGGGGGAATTTGTCCTTCAATGACCTCAATGCTTCACACCAAAGTATGTTATTAACATTTTAGGCCGCATTCCATGGGCACAAATTGTCGTTGCAAAAATATTTTCGTTCCTACAAATCCGGTCTAGAAGAAATTTTGTCAGTGTATAGTTCATATAGAGATATTCGTTTGTTGTAATGTTCCCCAAAAAATTCCATAGTTCTTCGCTGATATTCTTCGTTGAAATCCGGACTATTTATTGATAGTAAAATTCATAGTGCGCGAGGTCACTGGACAGAATTCAGCGTTGTTCGCCGCGTCACGTGATCGTTTTTTCCACAATCGACCAATCACGTTATTGTCTACATTCGCGTGTGTTGTTGGTAAACACAAAATGGCGTGCTTCACGAGGAACACATTGCAGTTATACATGTTGAAGCTACACTAAATGGCGACAAAGGCTCAATTTACTTGTATTGTTCACTTAGACAGTGTTAATAAGGGAAGTGCAGAACCCTTTACAAACACAAGGTGAGATAAATGTCGTGAAGTAGCTATAGACTGGTTTCAATTGGATGGAAATAACCAATCCATTGCAGCATTTTTCGATACAAATGGATATTTTATTACGAAGGATATTATATTGAAGATACAGTCGGCAGTGGTTTTGGATTTCATCCAACGTTTTATAGATGTTTTAAGAACAAAGCAGTTAAATGATGCGAGAAAGAAAGAGAGTGACTCAGTGATAAGGCAGCGTCTACATTCAGTCCAACCGAAACTAAACTGTCACGACATACATACAGACTATTAGTATTAGTATTACTGTGATGTGGTCATAATATATTTTACCAAACATTATTTAACAACTTACTATTAGTATATTAATCATTCGACAAAAATAGCAATTCACTCATAACATAATATTTTAAACACGGTTTCACCAAACCTTCAACAAGATATGACCACTTCTATTCTAACTAGTAGAAGTAATAAATAAATGTAATAAATAAAGGTGCATCATATATAGGCTACAGACCATAAGTCCAGAAAAATTTGTGAATGAAAGAATTGAATATAACCATCCAAGTCAACCCAGAACATTGCATGCTGTGATTCAAAGGAAAGAGGGGAATTATACTAATTAATCAAAGCTTTTGATAATCCCTAATTAAGTCTTTCACACCCCTCTGATAAAGTAACATGAGCTGAACATTAATGTCCAGTCGACACGGTTCCTTTTTATTTAAATAATTTGCTTGCATGTAAGGGTCTGTAGCAGAGGAAGGAAACTGGGGGACTCGGAGAAAACTCACAAGGTTGAACAAGTGACCCTAGTCCTTGTCACGTACAAGCAGAGAATTGAAATTAAGTCATTGACGCAATGACAGACCTTATGATTTCATGTGTACATGTTAAACCATTCGCCACCCACCCTCCATATTAAATAGATGTCTTTGTAAATTATGTATGTTATAGTTATACAGTGTATTAAGTATTAAATGTCTACAGTGTTTTTAAATTTATGTATTAAAGAAATGTATATGAAAATATTATCTATTAAGAAATATTGGTATTTATATTAATAAATATCATTTGATACATAATATATCAAAATTCAAATGTTCTTTTTGGCCATTATGACCCTAATGTTTTGACCGTTATGTAGTTTTGACCAAAATGTTTGACCGTTATGACCAAATACTTGAGCCATTTTGGTTTAGGGCCTTTATGTCCATAACCCCTACTACTAGGCCTAGTACTTCAACAAATTTAAAAACTAAAAGTGTGTCTCATTCACCCCTACTCCTTCATTAATATCACCAAAGGAATCACATCATGGTGCAGTACTTGTTACTACTTCATCAGAGTTAAAGAAGTCAGTTTTATCAGAGAGCTGTATAATTTGCGAGAAAAAATCCAAGTATGTTCGGGCGGGGGCCATACAAAAGAGGGACAATTTAGTCCAGTGCGAAATAAAAACAGCATTTTTATTATTTTATTTAAAGCACCAATGACACTTTTGCTGTTTTGATAAGTCCAGTGAAACAAATACCGGTAGCCTTATTCTAACTACTAAATGAGTTAGTGTCTTACTCTTAGTGTAAATCCTCCATTAAATTGTATTTTATTTATCTTAGGTGATCAAAAATATTTTTCAAATCAAAGGTAATTAGTTTTGGATTTGATCGACTACATGTACAGTATCTGTTATAATTGTTTTAAAAAATCAGAATATTTATTAATCAGAAGCAAGATTCCAACATTGAAAGTGTGTTTGGCACTTTTATCGATGATTACATGTAAACTATGTCGTAGGTGAGCCCCATATTGATGGGGGGGGGGCATCTGGTTCATTCGCAATTGCAGACAAAACCCATTTTGAATTCATATATCTATTGTAAGCTTATACATTGTAGATGCAAAATTTTTATTTTGTCCATATGGGCTTTTCCCTGACAATTCTGAGCTAGTTCAAATTATTTAAGCATTTCTTCTTAATATTTCTGCAACTTTTTAAGTTTTCAACCTTTATTTCAAAATATGTTTTTTCATTCTTAATCTTAGCTATACACTAGCCTATCCATGATCATTATCAATTTTGTTATGTAAAATGAATGATTTTATTAGAATTACACTTATAGAAGCAGTGACCTTGTTGCATTCTCTGTAATCTCCCTTGATATTAAGGCATTTTTCTAGTGAAATAGACCGGTCCCATATCCTTAATCAGTGTCGAAAAAACCTGACTGACTGCCACATTTTATGTCAGTGTGATCAAAATACCTTTTGTGGCTCTCATACACCACTTCTCTACACGGATGGGACGTTTTTGGGGTTCATTTGATCTCTGTTCATCCCAACCGCGAGCGATTTGCAAGGTAAATCGTTCGCATGGCTTTGTTTACAAATGCGATGACTTGGCACTTGACCCCAGAATTTTTGACCGCAACCCCGCAAGCGAGATCGCTGATTGGCCAAATTTTAAATAGATGCGCAGGATCCAACTCACATCTACGCAAATATGGCTCCGCACTATAAAGAAATAAGTCATCGATTTATATCCTATTTCGAGCTTGAACTATTAAATTGGCAGATTTTATTGGAGAACTTTGTTGACATATTGATTGCACGATTATTGATAGTCCGATTTGTAGACCGGTTTAGCGGGAGCGAAGGTGACAAGATTTTCACCCCGAGAATACGGCCTATTTGTGACCCCTATCGCTTTCACGGGTTATTCGGCAATCGGGATAGCTCTTTAACAGAAGGTCGCTGAATGCAAAAGGATAAAAATCCATAATTCATTTCACCGAGAGCCCATATTCAGTGATGTGTTAAACTATACTTCTCTTGTAATTAAAAATATTAATTGTTAAGCACTCGAATTTGCTATACACTTACACTTTCATGTGGACGTCCATTCACACGTTCTTGTGGATACTCTGGAGGTCACATATTGTATCCGATTTTGATCAAACGTAAATGGAAACCTTTTCTGTACCCCATTCCACAGCATAGTAAAATGATAGACGATTACATACAATACCCATCTCAGGAGATTTAATAATAAAAATAAATACGTTGGGGATAATATCTAATATAAATCATTTTATATGTAGTCATTTTAACCCCATTTTCGTCCATATTAAGGTACCCAAGAATAGGATCAAACGCCCTTTAATTGTCGTATTATGGATGGCCAGTATTTTATTGGCATTCTAAGATTAGTTTAAAGCAGTAGTTCTAACATCTTTGCGTTTTGTTATTTGCAGATTACTTTTATTTTCCTCATATTCCTTCATTAACGCGTACCTGACTTCTCACCTATAATATCTGAGATAATATTGATTATTTTAAACCATTCATCATCATTTCATCATTTCACCTAAGAGCAATGAAATGAAATGGAGTTTAACGTCCTACTTTTCTGCTCCTAACCTGGGCTAATGAAGACGGGCATACGCCATACAGTGTTCTATGAGGGAAATTTTGCCCGGACAGCGGCACCACGGCCTACTCTTATATCGAATTCCAACTGCCAAGGGATCTTTTACGTGCACGCCAATGTGTACACGGGACCTCGGTTTTTCGTCCCATCCGAACGACTAGACAGCTTTCCTTGTCAGCCCCTCCGTCCTGCATCACTGACAAGAGAGAACCACGCCGGAAAATCTGGATGAACTTTCTCGGCCAATGCAGGGATCGAACATCCGACCTCCAGGCTAGCGAGCTAGCGTCTTACCCACTTAGCCACGTGATCCCCCACTTATGAGCCATTCTCAATTAAAGAAGGTTGAAGCATGAAACGTATTAAGTACATCGTTCTAGTCTTTGAATTATTTATATATTTTGTCGATGTTAAAGGAGAGAGGAGACAAACACAGGCTTGTTGTCCGATTAACATAGCTTTCAGCTTGCTTAAATATACTTTATTGACAGTTATGAGTTATAGCTTGTGAACAGGAGAGAGAAAAATGAAATGGGGTTTAACGTCCTACTGTTCTGCTCCTAACCTGGGCTAATGAAGACGGAATAGGAGAAAAAGAATGAAATCACGCGGACGACCCCCCCCCCCAACTTACTAACCCTTATTAAAGTAAATATCCGCCCAACATTAAAACCATTGTGCAAATTTAGGGAACAAAGGGGGCCTACGAAATCATTTTTGCCAATAGGTTACCCTATGTGGCCACTTTACAGTATTGGCATTACGCCTGGGCTGGTCAGTTTCAGTGGTGGGGGGCAGTAGTAGACTGAAATAACTCCGAATCTCAGGAACAGTCGTATGTATATTTCAATTCTGACCTGATCAACTTCCGCTAACGTCTGGTAATCGGTGAAAAGATAAGAAAGTCTAACCCACGTATGATAATAGATATATAAATAGGGGGAAATGTCCACTAGTCCGAGGGTTCATTAGTCCACCGATATCTATTATTAGGGTCAGGGTTAGGTTTAATTAGTCCATCGATATCTATTATTAGGGTTAGGTTTCTTGATACCCATATATAGTATTTCTTATAGCGACGGATTAGTGTACACGGGGACTATTGAACCCATCTCATAAATAGCCACATTTCTCACATCACTTTTATTAATTTACAACCAAATAAAAATCATTAAAATAATTATGAGCAAAAGTAACCATCCCACACTTCGCTGTATTGCGTTTCTATTCCTTTCGTTGTACGTTGTTTCAATGGACTCCCCATTTGATTCCAAAGGAGTCTGCGGTTATAATACGGCTAATGCTAGGAGTTTCAACAAACGCATTGTATTAACCAGTTGTTACACCATCATAATACACAAGCAAACAACAGTTGCGGCGATCGTAATAAAAATAAACAGCCAAAAGAAAATAATGTCTAATGATTTAGAAACATCTTGCCATGTGGTTAGTTCCTCACCTTTAAAGTCCATGTTATTGGCAGGGGACACTGTGTTTTTATGACCCAGAGTCTTCTTGCTGCATTGTTTCCTTACCATCGATTGAATGTATCCAGGGACAGGAGTATTAGGATCTTTATAATAAATTCTCAGAATAAGGATAGACAATACCACGGATAATGCACTCATAGCAACAAGGACTGTTAAATAAACCGCCAATATGGAAACCTGTAACGACGTCTGTGGCATGCTTTCACTTACAATGGTCAAGAAAACGATGTAAGCCAACAAAATGGTTATAGCTAGAGATATTTTCTCGCCAGCGTCAGCAGGCAACATAAAAACCAAAGCTCCCATAAAAGACAAGAATAGAACGGGTAGTATGATGTTTAAAACGTAAAAGATTCGACGACGTTGTATGGTAAGCTTTATGTAAACACCGGCCTTCATGGTCGTATCTTTCTTCTCTATACTAGCGCTTATAAGATTCCATTGTCCATTAGCACCGTATTCATCAAGCCCCACTTCACCAGTTGAGCTAGTACTTAACACTAAATCTATTTCTGTGATGTCAGACACCATTGTTTCCAGAACAACGTTACAGACCTGTTGGTCGAAAGGATAATATCTTACATTTATATCACAGGTCGTTTCAAAAAGGTTACTAGGGGTCCATTCCACAAACCCGAAACTATTGAGTCGAATAGGCATTTCATCAAATCCTAGTTTAACCCTGTTTTCCACTGAGTTCCCTACGACAATGTCCGGCCTCCATACCTTTTCTTGTGGTACAACCATATTACCAATACCTCCATAGGCTGACTCGTTCCATGAGAGAAAATCGTCTTCCCAACTTAAATGGATATATCCAAACGATACCAGTACCTGGTCCTTTTCCTTGAGTTCGTTGATAGAAATTAGACTAAATGAAGTATAGATCTGCAAGACTTCAGTATCATATGCAACAGGTCTTACATCAGAATTATAGATGCTAAAGATATCATTATGCAAGTTGTAATAGTCTACTTTAGAAGCTGCTTCAGTGGACTGTATCCAAATACAGAAACAAACTAATAATGACATGTACGCCATTTTGGTAGGAACAATCAACTGGATGTCGTCACCTTTCGATTTTAAATTAATTTCTAAAAAAAATAAAATAATACGAATTCCATGAGACATTTGTAAGCAGAAGAATTTGAATTTGGAATTAATATGAAGGTGACGATGACATTTTTGTTAAAGAAACCCTTACCGTTAAATGACAAACTGCGTTGTTTTATCTGAATATAAGTCGATCTCAAAATACAGATATATTTTTATTACCAATTTAACCAGGACATTTGTAAACCGGAGAATTTGTATGCGATATATGGAATTAAAATATTCCGTAATGGCAAGGGTTTAAGTTCTTTCATAATAATATGATGTTTGAATACAATAAATTTTAAATTTCTAATGTTCCAGACTTAAATGTAAATGTTGACTTTCAGGCCATACCCAATCACAGTAATCGTATCAGAAAGCATACAAATCGACCAATCCGTATCTCCTGTAATCCGAAAAATCCTAGTAAATTGAAATTTTGGAGAAAAGTGAGTTAGACCCATATTTGGATTTAGTATGTACACATGCTTTCTTCATTGAAAAGGCTTCTAATTATCTTCATCTAAAAAGCCAAAATAAAAATTTGTTTTATATTCAGTAGCTTAATCCTAAAACAAAACAGTTTTACATTGTTTTCTCAACTTTGCATTCAACAGACTTGCTAGGTTTTTCCAGATTACAGGAGTTACGTTATGGCCATCGAAATTTCATATTCCGTTCTGAAAGTTTTACGACGTCATTTTTCTTGGCACGTATATATTCACCAGTTGATTTACTGATATTCATGGCTTTTGTTGAAATAGTCTGTCTAATAACTTTTTAGAGGCCTTATCTTGTTAAATTTGTACCAGGAAAATATTACGTAGCCTTTAAAGAGCTGGGTGTATTAAGCAAGTGGTCAGTTCTGTTTGATAAATTTTTATATTCAAACTGGGAAAACATTCGCTTTAAAATGTTCATCGGGATTGTTCGGAGTGGTTCTCCTTTGTGAGTGGTGCAGAACGGAGGGTCTTACAACGTATAGTCGTTCGGGTGAGACGGAAATCGAGATCCCATGTACAAATTGGCTTGTACTTACCAGAGAATAAGTTTTAGCGCTGCTGCTCGGGCAAAATTGCCTTCATTCATAGTACACTTAGTGTAAGGTCACACGGTATACTAAGCTATCATATCGCCATACCACACTAACAATTGAAATAAAAACTAAATGATTAGAATAATGTACCTTACCTTATGCTGTTGGAAGCTATGTGGGCTATAGCGTATTAGCGACGAATTGTATATCCGATTACGCCAAGTAACTAATTATATGTTATATAAATAATACTAATATTTACTGAACTTTTGGCTTCTCTTGATCTCATTATATAACACCTATTTAACTGATTGTGTTTTGTGTGTCTGTCAATGACGTTGGTCAGGGGTCACTGCATCTGCAATATAAGCTTATCCATTGCTTTATGGTGGTATATTAGATTCAAAATACGTTAATGTCGTCCAATCGTCTAATTTATAAATTAAGACAATGTAAAATCCAATTTCTTTATTTGTTCAGAGAAAATTTTAATTTTATTACATTTTATTTCTATTTTTAACACGAAGAATGTCTTCTTCATTGCCGCTTTACATGTTTAGCTTGAACATCGATCTTTTTTTTGGGGGGGGGGGGGAGCTGGTCGATTCATAAGGTTTGTCATTGAGTCAGATTTATAATTTTGGACACTTTACCTAGTAATCATCTTTATGAATACACAAAAACACATACTTATGGATAAAAACAGCTACTTATTTATTTGGGCGACGTTTCGAAGAGTATTCTCTCAACGTTATCAAGCTAATACAGTAATACAAGAATTATTAGATCAATATATACAGAAAACTATAACAACAATTCATGAAACCATACAGGACAACAACAAGATCAAAGGGGTTTAATCTACAAAAAACTAATTAAGTGTAGCCATTGAGTAGCTATGATGATAGATACAATACTACCGACATAATGGGATAGTACCTACAATACAATTATGATATACCATGGTTTGTTTAGATAATGGTAATTAACTTTATAGATCTGTGTGATTAAATGTACAATAGGCTAGAATAAACCATATTTTGTAGAGTGGATATAACTGATAAATTGATAATAACATTATGATAAAACATATTTACCCTCTAATCTGTTGACTGTATTGATCGAGGTTACTGCCACATCTCCATATTGATGGCAATAATAATCTTTTAGAGGCATTTAGCAACTGGATAGAGCAATACACAAAAACACAAACTTATGGAAAAAAACAGCTACTTATTTATTTGGGCGACGTTTCGAAGAGTGTTCTCTCAACGTTATCAAGCTAATACAGTAATACAAGAATTATTAGATCAATATATACAGAAAACTATAACAACAATTCATGAAACCATACAGGACAACAACAAGACCAGTTTTGTTCATTTTTTTTCTTGAAGACAAGTGGAGAATTTTATTTGAATTCTTTTACAGATGAGTTAATTAATACATGTATGTATATACTGTTGATCTTCTATTACTACTCTAACAAAAATATCACTTCATACCCTCCGAACGATTAGCCACTGTCCTTGCCATGATTGAAAGAAGAATTTAGACACATCTCCCATTTGAACTTGAATGCCGTTTTCTTTGATTTCTAGGTGTAACTTTAATATGCCACTATGCAGAGTTCGCATCTAATTTAGAAAACCATTTACTTCCTGCAAGGGTAATTAAATACGTTACATGTCCGTCCGGTTTGCGTATTAATATACTCAGCCAAATTAAAAACTTTACACTCGTGATTTTTGGGACTAGATTTTTAATATTTGGTTTAAGGCAACTATTTTAGTGTTATGTTGTGCACAGACGATCTTGACATCAACAGACAGCAAGAATACGTCTCGCCAAAAGTCCTTGACATTGATAACGTTCGTGCTGTCACAGTACCCCCCAAAATGAAATTCACAGACTTGGAGAACAATCGGAATAAAGTGTTTAGTAACGGTTGTGGCCTCCTCTAGCGTCTCGTACTGCCACACGTCAGTGGTGGATTCACTTGTTGACGAACATTTCGACACAGTTCGTCCCAGATGTGTTCAATAGGATTAAGGTCGGGGCTAAGCGACGGCCAATCCAGGACTTGGACAGCGGCATTTCTTAAAAAATTCTGGGTAGCAATTGCTGTATGGGGTCGAACATTGTCTTGTTGAAACGTTAGTCCAGGCCCATGGCTCTGCATAAACGGCAGAAGAACAGGTTGCAAAATCTGATCCCTGTACTGGACAGCATTTAAGTTCCCTTGGACAACAAGAGGAGAACGTCGGTGCACAAAAAGAACCCCAAACCATGATGCTGCCGCCACCAAATCGGTCAACTTCTCTGACGCATACTTGAGCGTAACGTTCACCTCGTCTGCGGTACACTCGGACCCTGCCATCGGCAAATCTCAAAGTGAATCGAGATTCGTCACTAAAGACAACCGAATTCCACTGTCTTTAAGTAAATCTTATGTGTCTTGTGGCCCACACAAGTCGGTTACGGCGATGAAGAGGTGTCAATATTGGTCCATTATAGGGCCTCCGAGCTCGAAGACCAGCAGCCTGCAAGCTTTTTCGAACAGTTTGTGCTGTTACCCTTCCACCAAACATCTCTCTACTTGTGGAGGTTGCAGTGACAAATCTGTTTCTAAGATGACGTAATCGTATTGCTTGATCTTCCTGGAGTAACGTCACACGTGGCGCTCCCGCCCTTGGGCGGTCGGCAATAGTTCCAGTTTGAAGCACTCTCATTCTAAGATTAATTATTGTCTGGCGTGAACAATTAAAGGCTCTTGCAACAGTGACCACAGACTGACCAGCATAGAGCCTGCCTATAGCACGTAGACGTTCTACAGTTGAAAGGCGCGGCATTTTCTAACAAAGATGAAAATAACAATTTTAATTTGTTTTTCCAGTTCAAGTTACGTGTGCGTGTTCAGTTTAAGCAAACTTGCATCGATTGACCTCGCGAGTTTGTGTTTGCGCGTGTTTTTCAGGTTTTTCATCTTTATATGCTCAAAAGTCACGTGATCCACGTGACTTTACAATTTTATGAACTTAAAGGCCTCTTACTACTTACTATCGTTAGAAACACTTTAAAATTGATTTGACTTACCAGAAAAAAAATTTAATATATTAAATTTAATATATCCCATGAAACTTTATGTAATTGGCACGCAGTTGTACACATAAAATTGCAAAAGCAGTATCTAAACGACCAATTAAAGTCCATCGAAACATGAAATAGACGCAATTTATGTTTATATAATGACATGCTAAGCGGGGCGATACGAACAACTTTATTAAAAATGATAATTCCAGGCGACCGGCCTACGTCTAGATTCTTATTTAAAGGCTCAATACCACTCTTGTTGTAACTGAATAATATGTCCCTATCTTTATTCTGGTTAACAATTTGAACTATTTTACAATATTCCAATTTTGTGATGATACAAATTTCATCTTAACACACCTAATTTAAAAAATTGGAAAAATTCAACTAAATGATTTGAAAAGCCTGACGTAAAGCTTTTCAAATGTGACTTGGATTTAAAAATGTTTTTGAACCCTCTGTACAAGTAAAATATGATTTAATGGATAATTTACACAACAGGTAGGACACTAACACATCTAGTACTTAGAATAAGGCTATTTTTTATTTTCTGGAGCTCTCAAGCCAGCAAGAGTGTTATTGTCCCTTTAAGGGTCGGTTTCTTCTATATTTTGGTGAATAAAACTGCTTAATTTTGTGTTAAAGGCCCTTAAAATCTTCTACCTTTGGGCCGAGCAACTAACTCAATATACGTGATACGTTGTCATCTTAAACACGTCAGTCTTCATCTAGAAACGGAGACCGATGTCCCAAACAGTATTATATGGTGTTGGTATGGAACTTGGCTTTTGTTTTATAAAAATAACGTGTAGGTGAAATGTGGCTTTCATTATCAAGTACAGCAAGTGGGTCATGCACTGTATAGATCTCTAAAGGAACGGCAATAGATTATCAGGTCATCCAACGACAAAAATTAAATCGAACACTTAAAACGGTTACTTATCCGGATAAGTGGTTTTGGCGTTGTTTGTGAGTGTGTGTTGTTGGTGTTCACCAGAAACAAATTTGTCGGTATTAAAACAAAATATGCGTCTTCGGTTGATCACATTGATAAATGACTGTTCTATCGCGATATTGTGCCATACATCAATTTTAAAACAGTTATGTTGTATTTTCCCCATGTGTGGTCAAAGTGGGGGGGGGGGGAGCAAAAACCATAACGTTGTTATTTACAGGTTAAAGACCACAATAAGTGTCGAGTCAACAGTATGATAGTATAGAGCAAATTACCTCGTTTCGCGGCGTACCCAGCTTACACCATGCGTGTCCTCGATTGGGCATAACTAGCATAAGGATTCGGTCGGTCGTATTTCCCCAATTTTTTGCAAATTCCTGTGTGTCCGCATTTGTTCCTTAAAAAGTCAAATGCAAAAAATATACTCTTCAAAAAAAAGTAGGGGATATTCAGAAACAATACAAAACTGCGGAAATGCACTGCTGTTTTTATTAGAGGTAACCAGTGTATGTTAATAACAGGCCAATGCCTACACATGAATATAAATAGTTCATATGGGCGGCTTATCTGACAGCCCCATTTCACTCGCAAAGAGATACCGTCAAAAGTGAAAATGGACGTTTTTGATTTTTGTCTTAAAAATGAGTAATTGCTCCGCCAATCCTCAGACATTCAGCAATTCGTTGTGGCATGCTCCTAATCAACCGTCCAATCACGATTTGGGGCAATCTGACCAACTCCTCTTGCAGTACCACGGCCAATTCTTGCTGTGTTGTCCGTTGACGTCGAAGAACACGTCTCCCAATCAAATTAAACGTAACACACTAAAGCAAAGATACGCTAAACAGTAAATTTTATGCAAGAACCGATAGGAAAGCAAACATGGATAGATAAACCAGCACGCGGCAGTGTATGGCGCTATTGCGTGTCGCATGTGAAGATCAGTGGTTCTGTTGGGGCGATAAGTTTTTCATCTGTGAACATACTCTCAAAGCATGTCAAATGTCTATGACTATTTATCATATCACACCTGCATAGGTATTTGCATTTAAATATCCTCTACTTTTTTTGAAGAGTATATATAAACTGAGGTATGATGTAATATATTTCAGAAATAAGGGTAGTTTTCAGCTACATGCAATATTTATCAAGACCTCGATTAGGATTATCCAATCAAAGTCCTCGATTTACACTATATACATGTGTGTGTGTGTTTTCATAATTATTCCTTGTACCATAAGGATGATCCCTGTTGTTTTTGGTGCATGCCCCATCACCAGGGGCAAAGTCACGTCCATTTTTGTATTTGGTGGTTTGTTAATACAGTCGCATTTCTTAACGGATCATCTTGAAACTTTGGATACTCATTCTTTATACCCTAAGGATCACCCCTAATGTTTGTGGTGCATGTCCAACCCCCAGGGGCAGAGCGACGCCCATTTTCTACAGGCCGCAATTCTTAATCGATCGTCTTGAAAACTGTTCATACTTATTCCTTATACCCTAAGGATGGCCTCTATTATTTTTGGTGCCTACCCGAACCCCTGGGACAGAGCCACGCTCAATTTTTGTGTGTCTTTGTGTCGCTTACAGGCCGCAATTCTTTACAGATGTACCTAGGTACAGATGTACCTACAGTTGTACCTATTTATATTGGTCCATGTCAAACCCCCAAGGGCAGAGCCACACCCAATTACTGCGTTTTTTGTCTACAGACTGGCATTCTGAATCTGAATGGATCATCTTGGAACTTGGCATATTTATTCCTTATGCCTTAGGAATAGCAACTATTTATTAAGGTGCATGTCCCGACCCCCAGGGGCGGTGTCACACCCACTTTATTTTAAAAATAACCATATGAATCAAAGCACGAATGTGGACGTATATTGCAGCAATAGCGATGCTCTCGCTCAAAGAAATTTCGTGCGTGTGAGAAGAGCACCCCATCGTACCCCATAGAGTATTGCTTGGTGTTGCTAGCTTCTGCAATTCATCAGAAACGACGTACATTCACTCCTGTTCAGCCCATCCCTAAAAAGGGATTGGAAAGATGGGAAGTTAAAACGCATACTTTAACAACCAGTAGAAATACGCTATATAAAATTATAATTCGTACATCAGTTTACAGCTAGAAAATAGAAAAAAAATTGTTTCCGTTTTATCCAATAAACAATTTATTTTCATTTCATGCAGAAAGATATGGTGTTAAAACGTATTGCAAATTTTTGTATTACATTGTAGGCCTTAAACTATCATATAAATTAACACTTAGTATTTTGATCGAGTATTTTACGCACAATACTAGATCTTTGTACGATCTTAGAAATATCTTTCTCTATGGTTAGGGTTCGGGTTGGGTTTATAAATTACATGTCAAACGTACAAACTGAAGCTGTAACAACGGTGGATTGTGGTTAAAACTATTCTGAAGGGTTAGGGTTAGAATTGTGGGTATAAACACGTAAAAAAATCAAAGATATTTCTCAGAACGGGAGGATCCAGTATCGTGCGTATTTTACAGTCACAGGAACGTTTCCGTTTAATCGAAAATTCCAATAAACAATTTATTGTTAGTTCGAGGGGAAAGTGTTACAGGTGGTAGACAATATTTCATAAACGTATTATGCAGAGAGGTGATTATAATGAAGGTCCACCTGGATATAAAATAAAATTTTGTGTGAATTAGGCGTCCTGAATACAATGCAACATAGGAGGCTTATGACATTTTGCATTATAGTACTGTTAACCATTGGTAAGTGTGACAACCAACTCGGTAACAAACAGCTATACCATCATAATACAAAAGCAAACAATAGTTGCAACGATCGTAATAATCATAAACAGCCAAAAGAAAATAATGTCTAATGATTTAGAAACATCTTGCCATGTGGTTAGTTCCTCACCTTTAAAGTCCATGTTATTGTCAGGGGACACTGTGCGTTTACAGCCTAGTGTCTTCTTCCGGTATTGTTTCCTTACCATCGATTGAATGTATCCAGGGACAGGAGTATTAGGATCTTTATAATAAATTCGTAGAACAAGGATAGACAATACCACGGATAATGCACTCATAGCAACAAGGACTGTTAAATAGACCGCCATTATGGAAACCTGTAACGAAGTCTGCGGCATGCTTTCACTTACAATGGTCAAGAAAACGATGTATGCCAACAAAATGGTTATAGCTAGAGATATTTTCTCACCAGCGTCAGCAGGCAACATAAAGACCAAAGCTCCCATAAAAGACAAGAATAGAACGGGTAATATGATGTTTAAAATGTAGAAGGTTCGACGACGTTGTATGGTAAGCTTTATGTAAATACTGGCCTTCATGGTCGTATATTTCTTCTCTATACTAGCGCTTATAAGATTCCATTGTCCATTAGCTCCGAATTCATCAAGCCACACTTCACCAGGTGAGCTAGTACTTAACACTAAATTTATTTCTGTGATGTCAGACACCATTGTTTCCAGAACCACGTGACAGACCTGTTGGTCGAAAGGATAATATCTTATATTTATGTCACAGGTAGTTTCAAAAAGGTTACTAGGTGTCCATTCCACAAACCCGAAACTATTGAGTCGAATGGGCATTTCATCAAATCCTAGCTTAACCCTGTTTTTCACTGAGTTCCCTACAACAATGTCGGGCCTCCAAACCTTTTTCTGTGGTACAACCATATTATCAATGCCTCCATAATCTGACTCGTTCCATGAGAGAAAATCGTCTTCCCAACTTAAATCGATATATCCAAACGATACCAGTACCTGGTCCTTTTCCCTGAGTTCGTTGATAGAAACTAGACTAAATGAAGTATAAATTTGCAAGACTTCAGTATCATATGTAACAGGTCTTACATCAGAATTATAGATGCTAAATATATCTGTATGCAAGTTATAATAGTCTAGTTTAGAAGCTGCTTTAGTGGTCTGTATCCAAATACACAAACACACTAACAGTGGCATGGGCGCCATTTTAACACAACCTTTGGTCTCTGAATTTAATAGCTGTAAAAAATGAAATGAAATGGGGTTTAACGTCCTACTGTTCTGCTCCTATACTGGGCTAATGAAGACGGGCATACGCCATACAGTGTGCTATGAGGGAAAGTTTGCCCGGGCAGCGGCACTATCGCCTACTCTTATATCGAATTCCAACTGCCAGGGGATCTTTTACGTGCATTCCAATATATACACGGGACCTCGGTTTTTCGTCTCATCCGAAGGACTAGACAGCTTTTCTTATCGGGCCCTCCGTTCTGCACCACAGACAAGGTGAAACCACGTCGGAAAATCTGGATGAACTTTTCTCGGCCAATGCAGGGATCGAACACCCGACCTCCAGGCTAGCGAGCCAGCGTCTTAACCACCTAGCCTCCGGAGCCAATATTTGTAAACAACAAATTGAATACGATATTTGGGATAAAAATATAAGTCTGTATATAAGTCGATCTCAAAATACGGATATATTTTTATTACCAATTTAAAAAAACCAAATAGAACAAGATGGCTCATTTCTTACGCATTTATTTGCTAACAAAAACAATAAAAATAAAAAACATAAAGTTGCCATGCAAGATACGCCCACATTTTGCAAGCTATGGACAAAAAAAAGAAGCGATTTTTCGAACGACCATGGTTCAAAATGCAGAAAGTTAGGGTCCGACACCCGCAAATATCGACAGAAACCCAGATCGTTGGGATACAAAAATATATTTTAAGTTTCATCAGAATAGGATTTCCACCAGCGGCCAAGCAGCATACGCCCACATTTTGCAAGAGATGGATAAAGAACTAACTAAAACCAAAAACGATTTTTTTTTGTACAATCAGGGGCCATAATCCAGAAAATTATGGTCTGAAATGCGCAAATATCAAAAGGGATTGAGAATTATTTCTATCTCTCTAGCTTTCCCCCTCCCTTCATCTCAGATAAACTACTTTTAAAGCCAAAACTTTTCAACGGGTTTTCAAGCCCCTGTGTTATGAAATAATCTAACTTGAAGTTTAAGATGTTGCACATCTCTATATTCTTTCTGAAAAACAAAACAACTTAATTTTATTTAAACAAATCTTTAACGGACTCTGTATAGACAACATCTAATATGTTATATAATCACCATGTAAAGTTTCTCTGGACACTTGATGTGAAAGGGTGTACTATAAATATGCTTATAATAACGATAATAATAATCTATATACCTTCCTCTCTTTCATTCTCCCTTTCACCCTCTTTCTATCTATCTTGCCCTCTCTCTCCTCGCTCCCCACCCCCTGTTATGTCTTGAGTGGATGTTATACTCCGCATCCCTATCTCGGGTTTCCTCCCACGACTAAAGACCCCTCTGTGAATATTGCCCCCTTTCCTTCCACTCCCTGGGATCAATTCCTTGATTGTATATGCCAAAAAGACTCACGTATAGGACATAGTACTTAGTTCAGAAATGATGGTAAACTGACTGACAATTTTTACGTAAATTTTGCGTAAAATTAACATCATATTGTTATGTAGGATAGTACTTAGTTCAGAAATGTGAGAAAGGAGGATATTTTAAATGTTAAATAGTTAACAACGATAATTTTAAATTTCAAACATACTTTTAAAATTAAAATGCAATTTCAGTAATTGATTGCCCCAGCACCCCCACTCCGACAAGGAAGTCCCGGGTCATTGCCCCCCTTTGCATGCTACTCCCTAATACAGACCGGGGTAGCACGTCTCGTCGACACCAGAAAGAAAGGCTAGTTTCGGCGATTGGACCAGACACCTAAGACAAATGCAATCAATATTGCTACATAAACCTATGGATTATTTGAATATATCAAACTGAATTTAACATAAAGTTTTACATTTATTTACATGAATTTGGTAAATTAACGCAACAATATGTTACCAACCCATGTAGTTTGATTCTGTTTACGTCCACGTTGAATCATACTGGTGAAATTTTCCATACAGAATTTCAATTATTATTTCATTATAAAAATTATTATTAAAATCGCGCTTTTAGCTTGTGGTCCCACTAGAGGTCTTAATTTTTATCCGATTAAAAAAAACGTTTTAGTATATCACCGTTACACGCTAATGATGGTTGAGTTCGAATTTCGTGAAAATCGGACCAAAACTGTTGAACAAAATGGCCGCGCATTGTACGCAAATAGTGTAAACTTATGGTATATATGTCAAGATTGTGGACATCCTAGAGGTCACAATTTTGATCCGATTTTGATGAAACTTGCAATACATGTTTATAACCCAAGGATCGTGGTTCCTATCTATATTCGCGCATATCGGATTGTAACTTCCTGAACTATGGCCCTTGATTGTACGAAAAATCGCGTTTTGAGCTTATGGTCCCAATTTTTATCCGATTTTTATGAAAATTAAAACGTATCTTTATAGTTCAAAAATCTTAGTCCCTTTTGATATTTGCGCATTTCAGACCATAACTTTCTGGATTATGGCCCCTGTTTTTAGCTTGTTCTCTATCCATCTCTTGCAAAATGTGGGCGTATCCTGCCTGGCAGCCGCTGGTTACACTATTTGCGTACAAGGGGCGGCCATTATGTACGTCAGTTTTTGTCCGATTTTAACGAAATTCGAACTCAACCATCATTAGTGTATAACTGATGTATTATCACGTCTGTTTTCATAAATCAGATAATGACAGACCTTATGATACAACACGCACGTGCTAACCATTCGGCCATCCAACCCCCCGACCTCTATAGGGACCACAAGCTCAGAACGCGATTTTTCGTACAATCAAGGGCCATATTCTGGAAGTTACGATCCAAATGAAATGAAATGACATGGGGGTTAGCGTCCTAATGCTCTGCTCCGACTGAGCTAATGAAGACGGGCATACGCCATACAGTGTGCGATGAGGGAAATTTTGCCCGGGCAGCGGCACTATGGCCTGCTCTTATATCGAATTCCAACTGAAAAGGGATCTCTTTCGTGCATGCCACTGTATACACGGGACCTCGGTTTTTCGCCCCCTTCGTCCTGCATCAATAACAAGGGGAAACCACGCCGAAAAATCCCGATGATCTCCCTCGGCCAATGCAGGGATTGAACACGCGAATGTCTAAGCTAGCGAGCCAGTATCTTACCCACCGTGGCTCCTTGAATTTAAAACCATACAGCTTTAAAATACAACCTGTGCACATAAGCTATCCCAATATAAAGATAAGAAATGGAGGAACAAATCATTGTCTGCGATATCACTTCGGTGGAAGCGGACGTAAAATACAACTAACTCATCATCAGGAACAAATCATTAGAATAATCTACCTTACCTATATGTATGTTTGGAAAGCTATATCCGTCCCAGCGTATACGAGTCGAAATGCTAAATGATTAATAGCAATAAATTTTGACTTTGACTAAACCATTTACTTATAATTAGCTCTGTTTGAATTCATTAATTAAATTAAATATGACACCTGTTGTTAGCGGCACGATGAGCATGCTAAACAAATCAACCTTCCCATTATTCGATTATGAGTTTGATTTAATTATACCGTGCACGTATTGCAAGATCGTTATTACACAAACCATTAAAAACTAATTTTACACCGTTTTTCACCTTTAAATCGAAATGACGCAAAAATGAAATCGAAATTTAAAAAACTGCTTCCGTCTTTTTTTGCGCCTTTACATGGCGCAACTTCTTACTTTTTACTTATTTTAAAAAAATAATATTTGCTTTCGAAAAGACGTACCTAACCGCCAAAATTGTAGTTTTGGTCAAAATTACGTCATTTCCGCTGCTGACAGAAAGCTTTATCAGTAATAAAAAAGTTGAGACTTTGCATCATTGAGCATATGAACTTTGTTTTATACAAATCAAGCAATACATAATTAACCCAGAACCCATAAACTGAATTAGCCAATAGCGGCCAAGGTGAATTATCGATACAAAATTTTTTCATATTTTTGCTCAAATCACATGACCCTTTAATTATAGGTAAAGCGCCATAAAAAAATATTAATAAATAAAAAAGTTTTTTGTCAAAATTTAAATTTTCAAAATTTGGCGCCTAATATCTTCGAAGATTAATCGAAAATCAAAAATCTAAACAATCGTAGCTATTTACCGTGTCTCAGGCTATGTCAAAATGTATCAAATGTTAAAATCCAACAATTATTGTTAATATTACGGCAATATTTCAAAAAACGGTGATTTCGGACATTTCGCATTGTCACAGAAAGTTCGAAATAGCTTTAATCTCTAAGTCACACCCACTTTCCCATTAAAACCGAAGACATCGAGTTGATCCGACAAATAGTTTCTGAGATATGCTCAAGTGGAAAAAAAAATAATAATAACTAGAACTGCGAAGCAGTAATGACGGGTTTCACTGGTGCCACGTTACCCTAAACATATGTCACTTCCTGTACCAACGAAACCATTAAACAGGTTTCCACATAAGCATTGCACACATCAATTAAAATGGACCCCGAATCCAGCAATATAAATTCATTTTATACATTTGTTACATGTAAGTGTACAGTACTTCCGGTGCTAATGAAAATGTTCAATTAGTTTTATGAAATCAGAAATGGCATAAGGCATTGACTCTTTTACAGGCAAACTAGCGTTAAAAATGACACTTGCAAAATTGACCATTTCTCGGCAACTGCTCATATTACAAACTAATTTTCACATACATTCTCTTCGTATGGATTATTGCTACAAGTTCATGAAAGTTGCGAAGAAATATATTAAAACATGAAAAGCCTGAATGGGTTGTATATAGCTCATTATTTCACCTTTTTTCACCTTTAAATCGAAATGACCCAAAAACAAAATCGAAATTAAAAAAACTGAGCCCGATGTTTTCTGTGCCTTTACAGGGCACACCCTTTCAGTCATACCAGATTTGAAAAAAATAATATTTGCTTTCAAAAAGTGGTACCGAACTGTCAAAATTGTATTTTTTGCTAAATTTATGCTAAATGTACCGGTAACAAAAAAAATGACATTTTGGACCACGGAGCATATGAACTTTGTTTTATACAAATCGAACAATCAATAATTAATCCAGGACTGAAAAACTAAATTAGCCAATGGGAGCCAAGGAATAATACGGTGACAAAAAATGTTGCCATTTTTGATCAAACCAGATGACTCTTGAACCCTGGGTAAAATACCACATAAAAATATTCATGAATAAAAAAGTTTTTCGTAAAAATTTAAATTTTCAAAATTTGGCGCCTAATATCTCCGAAGATTCGTCGAAAATAAAAAATCTAAAGAACCGTAGCTATGTGCCTTGTCTCTGGCTATGTCAAAATGTATCCAATGTTACAATCCAACGATTATTGTTAATATTACGGCAATATTTCAAAAAACAATAACTTCGACGATTTCGGACATTTCGCATTGTCGCAGAACGTTCGAAATAGCTTTAATCTCTAAGTCACACCCACTTTCCCAGTAAAACCGAAGACATCGAATCAATCCGACAAGTAGTTTCTGAGATACAATCAAAATGGAATAAGAAAAATAATAATAATAAGAAGAATAATAAGAATAATCTTAACAAAAACAATAGTGTTTCACACAAGCTACGCAGTGTGAAACCCTAATAAGAAGAACTAGAACTGCGACGCAGTAATGACGGGTTTCACCGGTGCCCCGTTACCCTTGAACATATGTCACTTCCGGTACCGATGAAACCATTAAACAGGTTTCCATATAAGCATTGCACACATCAAATAAAATGTAAGCAGAATCAACCAAATCCAACAATACCAATTCATTGTATACATTTGTTACATGTAAGTGGTCCTGACAAAATTAAATTACTTCCGGTGGTAATGAAAATGTTAAATTAGTTTTATGAAATCAGAAATAGAACTAGAACTGCGACGCAGTAATGGCGGGTTTCACTGGTGCCACGTTACCCTTGAACTTATGTCATTTCCGGTGCCTCGTTACCCTTGAACTTATGTCACATTCGGTACCAATGAAACCGTTAAACAGATTTCAACGTTAGCATTGCACACGTGTTATGAAATGGACGCAGAATCAACCAAATCCAGCAATATCAATTCCATTTATACAATTGTTACCATGCGTTAGATATGTCAAAAATGTGATCCTGACAAAATGTATTACTAACTTACCACTAAGTTAACTGACTATCTAATGGGAACTTAAAATGTGAAAAAAGTCTTAAAAAATGATCCTGACAAAATTGGTTATTTCTCGACAAAGAAAGATGGTAGAAGCAATTTTTGGACATCTATATGATCGTATTGATCCAATCTATATCTCCATTGGAATCAAATGTCAT